ATATAGGGGTGGGTGTGGGTGTGGGTGTGGGTGTGGGTGTTTGTATATTTTAAAAGAACTCAACACACATCCACACCCTTAACAAAAATTTGATCACATACCAAACGAAAATGAATCACGTAGTTGATTTATTTGCACCGAAGAAAATTCGTCGAAAAATGAATTTCGCCGATTGCATTATCGCGGAATGAATGTAGGTTTGCGTAGGGGTGGTGTATTGGTATGGGAATGGATGGAGACGTAAATGTGGGTGTGGATCTTATTTTAAGTCACACACGCACATCTACAGCCATGCCCACATTCACACCCACACCGCATTCCACACCCATTCACACGCAACCACACCCACATCCTCGCTCGTCTCCCCACTCGTCTCCCCACTCGTCTCCCCACTCGTCTCTCCACACACATAATCTTTGTCATGACTAATGTTGGTTTTTTACTGCCGCACTTTCTCCCATTTCCTTATCGAATTTTGTTTTATGGCAGAAACCCGTCGTTACTCACCACGTGGAATCCATAGTGCAAAGGGAGTCGAAAATAACTAGCACAGGTGAGCAAGATCATGAGAAAGAACAAACACTTGAGAAAATGCGTCGGGTAGAAGAAACCCAGCGACATTCCAACGGCAATTCATATATAATACACTGGATCATTCATCAAATCAAAACCATCATCAACATTCGAGGCTGAATTTTGGGTATGGGTGTGGGTGTTGGGAGTAGGTGAAGAGAAGACTAGCACCCACACACACCCTCGTTATTTGAGATAACTCTTCGATCGCGAAAAAAGACTAGATAAAGGTCGTGACGATGTTCATAAACACTAGGTAGGTTTTACATCATGTTTCAATTTGTGCGCGGGCTTATACCGGTTTTTTATTTTCATACGAAACAGTTATTTATTTTCATGAACTGACATAGAAACTAAAATTCGATGTCCCATGCATCCCTCTATCATTCTTTAGCGATTTCAGATTGTTAAATAACTGATTACTGTAGAATTTTCGTATCGCGTAAAACAAGACAGAAAACACGATAATTATGAGCCAATCAGAACCTGCAGTTCCAGCTTGTTTGACACAATTTGAATGGGTGTGGCAGTCAAATCCAAATTCATTATCTCACTGTGAGCCAGCTGAATGGAGTCATTATTCAGATGTGGAAAATCTAATTATCGAAGAAGCGTTCTCGGCTAAGCAACCTGAAGCCATGCTGGATGACTGCTACATTGATTTCAAATATGAGGTTCAAATATCCAGCTGTGATGATAAGAAGCAGAGACCCGTAAAACGAGTGGTACGCAAGAGGGAAAATGAGAAATTACGAGAAGAACGCTTCATATTCGATCCCATTAATCCGATTCGTTCCTTTGATGACGAATATGGCTGGATATCACCCTTCATATTGGAAGTGAGAAGAGACCTGGGCCTAAGATGGGATCAATTACCTTCTAAAAATGAAGACATCGTCCCAATGCTTGTTGAGAAAGCCGCAATCGGCGTTTTTGAAGAAGGCAAACAAATAGGAAAACGGCGTGAAGCTGAGAAAATGGCTAATCTACTCAGAAAACAAAAAGACAAGGGAATGCAAGAAGTATGGAAATGCTGTGCCCACCTTTACACTCTGAATAATTTCTTGTACAAAAAATTAAATGAGGCCATGCAATTGATAGGGAACAAGGAGCATAAGCAGATCTGGGGCAGTAAAATTCGTACAGTGGGACCCTTTGGTCTACTTCTCTGGGATGATCCCATCAATAAAAAAATGAAGAAAGAAATGACAATATACAGAGGCGCCAACCTGACCAACGATGAAATCGCTATTTATGAAGACATGGCTAAGTGTCCCAACGAATATCGCTCATTTCAAGCGTTTACATCATGTAGTCGCAATAGTGAGGCAGCAAAACTCTTTGGTGGAAATGTCTTGTTCATCATGCAAGTATTGTGTGCTTTTACTGCGGATCTCCGCTTATTGTCTCAATACCCTAACGAAGAGGAAGAACTTGTTACTCCAGGAGTTTGCTTCACTGTTCAACGCATGGAATTCGACGATAAAAAAAATAAACACTTGATCTACTTAGAGTTAAGACAACGGTTTTCTGGTAAGTATGAGCAATACTTTTATAACCGTTTGTATAACCTGAGAAATATTTTTGCTACATATTGCCATTTTCGTTTGGTATGTGATCAAATTTTTGTTAAGGGTGTGGATGTGTGTTGAGTTCTTTTAAAATATACAAACACCCACACCCACACCCACACCCACACCCACACCCACACCCACCCCTATATGAATTAAACAAAAATTGTGGTAGGCATCAATGCAAAAAATAAACATGCTCTTGATGCAAAGTATATTTGTCCTGTGTGCTCATTGATACTACGGGATCCTGTACAATTGAGTAAATGTGGTCATCGACAGTGCCAATTATGTTTGGATGCTCAACGCGAGCAAGTATTATTATTAATTTTTTAGTATTATTATTATTCATTATTCTTTTTAAAGAGTGACAATTCAATGTCAACAATGTCAATCAGAATCATCACGGCTCGAGGTCGGATATCTATTCAAAATTGAAGAGAAAATAGATTTGATTTTTTGTAGATACTGCTTGATCGAGGTTTTAAAAATGACATGAAATCATTACCTATTGATTGTTCTTTTTGCGAATGGACTGGTATCTTAAATAATTATCAAGTAATTTATGTTATATTAATTTTATTTCTGAATCTTCTATTATTTTCTTTCAAAAGAAACATTTTGATGATTATCATTCAAACCTGAAATGCGAATATTGTGACGAAAAATTCAACTCGGTTAACAAATACAATGAACATAAAGTCTCCAAATGTCAGAAACTGATTGTTGATTGTATATTGAAAGACTTTGGTTGTAATGAGCAAGTATGGTTATTCTCTAGATGAAAATGAAATCTGAAAATTTTTCTTCTTTAGATTATCCGTACCAAAATGGAAGATCATTATTTAACTGAACAGCATCAACGTGCCATAATGAAAGTTGTTCGTCAGATGTTATCGCAATTCAATGACAGATTAATGGATAATAATTTTTCTTCAGTAATAACTGCCGGAACTTATAATACAGCCACAGCTCAATTACAAGAACTTTATAAAATGCTCAACATCTTGTCAGGTAGTATTGAAGCATTGAATAATGACCAAGAACGTCTAAGCAATGAATCACTTCAAATTCAAGTAACAATTCCATCATTGACAGAAGAATTGTCAAAAGTTAAATTATCGATTCAAGAATCAAGTTCTTTCTTGGAAGGAGTGAAACATAACCAAGACATTCTCAATCAAGATTTAGCATCAATCGAAGAAAAAATCAATGATTTGCAATATGTTTCATATGATGGAACATTTATATGGAAAATTACAAATTTTAAAGAGAAAATGAGTAAGTTAAACGATTACTCTTACGCTCAATCATAAAAATAATCAAAGAATTAGATGTTCTACGCTTTCTGTAACATCGAAAAATAATACATATGACACGATTTCAAACTCTTTGTACCGTTTGGCTTCAGTTTTTTTTTGAAAATATCATTTACCAGTGGAATGATTTCGCGTATTGGGGCAGATCGTACAGTAGTCTGACTACCATTATCAAGAATAGCTGAAATTCTGAAAAGTTGATATTTTAAACTTACTTTTGAGAATCACCGAGTCATCGTAAATGTGCTAAAGGAAATGTGAGAAGTCTCGTTTAGAGAAACGTATCGAGGATGGACCTAAGCGGAATCATAAGCTATTCAACTCTAATAAGTAGTTACTCTTAGGATGACCTTTATACCAGAATTTTGAATTTTAAAAATTTAATTCTTTTAAATCACTGAATTCATCAAGCTGAATCTTGTACTGTAATACTTTGATATGAATTGCACATCTAGAAGCTGTATTTCAGTGCTCTAAACAATATTGGGTGTGGGTGTGACTTAAAATAAGATCCACACCCATACCCTTACAGCTTGACAGACATTTTTTACCAAATTCATGACCACGAATGTAACAAACTAGGCAAAATAAGAACAACTTCACTCAATCAAATAGCACATTTTGTAGCGCATCTTGCGGAGATATTAATGGGAAATCAACGAATTTTAAAAAAGCGTTCTTAACATAAACAAATCAGCTTAATTTATTGCCGCTGAACATGCCCATGTGAAATTTAAGTGGAAAAATGGTATTATTTTCATGCCCTCGGCCGTCCAACAATAGGTAGAGGGCTGGTTTTAGCAACCAAACTGGCCATACCTGTGAAGAATATTTTCTGAAAAAATTGTTGAGTTTGATTAAGCATCTTAGCTATGTTTTTTATTCAAACGGTATAAATGGTTTGCAATCGTCTCATATATGATCGAATATCCTATTCAACGTAATATATAATTACTCTTGAATACAATATATGACTATAATCTATTGATGCATTGACGAAATGAACTGTAAATGGGGTCGATCCGTTAAATTTCTTTAAACTTGCCTCTAGTCTTCTTCATGTATTTTTCTAGTTAATTTCTAGTTGATGCACAGTCTGAAAGACAAACATCTATTTATTCACCTCCATTTTATTCATCTCCAACTGGTTATAAAATGAGAGCTCGTCTTTATTTAAATGGTGATGGAAATGCTCGCCGTACACATATGTCGCTCTTTTTTGTGCTTATGCGAAGTTTGAACGATCCGATTCTCAAATTTCCGTTCAACTTTAAAGTCACGTTTTGTTTGTACGATCAAACGCCTGCGCAGCAACATATTATTGATTCATTTCGACCAGACATTAAATCGAGTAGTTTTCAACGCCCTCGATCGGCTATGAATATAGCTAGTGGTATACCAAAATTTTTTCCATTGGAAATTATTCAACAGGAAGGAAATTCTTATGTACGAGACGACACCATGTTCATCAAAGCTATGATTGATTTTAGAGATATAAACAAAACATTGTTACCTTATGTTTTGAATCTTAATCCGGGTCTACCAACTCATGTTCAACAAGAGATGATCATGCAAGAGGTGGAAAGAAGATCTCAACAGCAGTCTGTCGCGCAGCCGAAGATACCTCCGAAATAGTCTACTGTTCAATTTACATCAAAAAGATTCACTCAATAATCAAGAATAACAATTGACCCAGAATAAATCAGTATTTTTTAATTTTTCAACAACTTCATCAGGTTTGATTCGATCTAGCAAAACTATTTTATTAGTGTCGCGAGTGTGTGTGTGGGTGTAGGTGTAGGTGTGGGCGTGGGTGTGGGTGTGGGTGTGGGTGTGGGTGTAGGTGTGGATGTGGGTGTGGATGTAGATGTCTTTTTTTCTACCATGCCCACACCCACACCCTATCAATGAGTCAGCTTCATCTAACTGTAAAGACTAAAATTCAATGAACTTTTATTCCATTTTCGCTGTCCGTAGCCATTGCCATAAACAACTATAAAATAAATCAAACATTCTAATTTTCAGGCACTCTCTTTCTACAACAAGGTGCAGTTTCAAAAATCTCTATTTAGAAAGTCTCAAACTGCATCATAGGCATAATTCAATGGACAGCATAAATGCTGTGTTAGACTTTGTTTTATAGAATTCTTCTTGTTTTTTGTGGGATATTCAAATAGCACACGTTGAAAAATGAGTCTGTGTTACTTCACTGTTTCTCTCGCTTGAAAAGACGAAAAGAGTTCAAGTTTTCGAAGCACTAGCCACGCTATGACTGAAAGATGATTTTTTATATATTTTTATTCATCAGTATAAGAATGAAAATTCGACGAATTCAACCAGTATGATAAACACTTTGGTTTTTCACTGTGACTTGTGTTTTAAAATTTAGTCAAAAGTCAGGCAAAAACTATTATTTGAAGATAAAAGTTATTTTGTAAAACTTCGACAACTACGTTCATAAAAGTTTCGAGTTTTTTTATTATAGGGCATGTAAAGTATGCGAATATTTTAGCAATCTTCAAGGAGCACTCAATATTGAGAAAGATCAAAGATATTGTGAAATGCTGTTATATTATTCGTATAACACTTTATTAAAAGTGCGAATTCAAATCAAGATGGTTTTATGCATGCCATGAAACCAGAAAATATAGCTTCGTATGTTCCATGGAACTTAAAATACCTTTGATGCCTGTAGTGAAAGTAAAACAAATATTAGATTTCATCGGAAGTTCAACAAGCCTTAAATATTTTCGTAAATTGTCAACGATCATTTTAACATTGCTTTAGCTTTTTACGAAGATTTTTTTAAAGTTTTGGTGTTTAGCTTCTCTGTTTAGTCTGTGGAAGTAGTTAACCTTCTGATTGAGATGGAACAATATTGGGTTTTTCAATTAATGTTGATGAGCTAAAAAGAACATCAGGGTGTGGGTGTGGGCGTAGGTGTGGGGTGTGGACGTGGGCGAGGTGTGGGTGTCGGTGTGGATGTAGTTCTTCTCTTTACTCACACTCACATCCACATCCACACCCCACACCCACACTCACACCCAGCTAATACTCAACTATTTTATGTTACAAGTTAATAGTTTGTTTGACACTTAACAATTAGGTTTGATTCGTTTTCGTTCAGCACTAGACATGTCACATACCTATACAGTATTGAAGAATTGATACAGAGTTCTCCTGATATTCATTGGCATTGGTAGTGACAAGCGTTGATTTTGACATGTATTGGTATTGATATACTTATATCCTTATATTTTTCGCTAAAACAAAGGCATTTTAAACAATCAATCATTTTTTCTACAAAGTTTCACTCAAGATTTTCGGGATCGATGAATTCCAATCAATGATCGATTTCTTGAAATTTTCAAAGTGATTTTTCTATGAAGGAAGAATTTCTAACAAAGATAACGAGTTTTCATCAAGTTTTCCGAAAGGTTTTTGGGGTCGAAAATTTGATATTTGCCGTCAGATTTGCAAAACTTTACACCTGATTTCCTAGACACCTCAACTTATTCCGCTTCCCGACGCTGAACCTTAAGATAATATCGTACTTTTCTGAAAAAAGCCTTTCCATAGTGATAAAAATCATGTTCTTTGATGAAAAATGGCTATAAAATGGTATTTTCTTCATGCAAATCATTTTATCACTTAATATTAATAAATTTAGTTTTAATATTAATGGTTAAGTAGTTCAATAATACTTAAATTTGATGAATTAAGTATTAAATGAAGCTACTTAACAAATGTTTTTAATTAAATCTCGTTAAATAAAATGATTCACCTTTACTTAAAATCTGCTTTTCACTCTTGTCTAGATACTTGTGCAAATAAACAGAAATTTCATTGATATCAGATTATTATTTAATAGATCGAATACTAGTGTTGATGATGCCACAATGCAGTCTACTGTTAGACATAACAAGATGATAATGTTACTGAGTGATCGAATTTGTTCATGTCATTTCTGAAAAGAAAAATGATGTCTTTTTCTTGCAGATTCTACAGTAGATCTAGTGTCGAATTGTATATTACCTTTCAAATGAATTTTTAGAAATAAACTGAAAACAAAAGATAATTTGACAGCAATATGCAGATCATGATTTCAAGTATGAAGCTCCTTAAGTAAATTAACAATTTCAAAATTTATCTGATATTCATTTAATTTAATTTCATATTCATCATAACGGTAATAGTTGGTGTTATTTATCTTAATTAGAGACTCTTTTTCGATAGACATTCTTCTCTAAGAACATTTACTTCATATGTGAAAACATAAACGCTTCTTTTATCACCAAATATTTCATGAGTAACAAATAATTTTTTATCGTTTCAATAAAATAAAAAAATGTAAAAATGTATTATAAAGAAAATAATTTATTTCTATTTTGTGCATCTTCATAAATCATGTTGATATTATTTATAATTCTGAAGAAGTTTTATTCAATTGATTTCTGAATATATGAGAATCAAAAGTTCTATACTAATTTAAGTCATTAAAAGTCAAATAAAACATGACATTATTAACAAACTTCATGTAAATTAATTGTTTTCTTAGTTAAAACAACGATAGTATTTTCATTCCAAGTTGTTACATCTTCAAGTCGTTGATGATGTTCATACTTATCCGTTTTTAAGAGGCGTCCACCAGCTGAAATATGAAAGAATTGACCATCATCATGATCCATAACTAACCATTGATCACCATTAACTGCACAACAACGACATCGTCCATGAATACGAATTGACCATATACAATCAAGTGTTGTTGATGAACGTAAATCAAAACGACTTTCTTCCTTATGTTTCTTAAAGATAGGAATAGCAAGAAATCCATTAATATATTTAAGATCACAAATAATTTCATCTTCTCCACAAGTTACTGGTGGATACCATGCCTTAATAAATTGAAATCGTGATTGAAGATCAAATTCATGAATTGATGAACCCCATTTTGCTGATGATAAGAATAATGTATCGTTCGAACTTGTTGCACGCCAGTAATCAATGTTAGACGATATAGAACATTTTTCAAGTATCATTTTTTTATCGTCAAAAGTAAATATTTCTTTAAAAGTAACAATAATAAATCGATTGATTATCGATGACCAACAAATACTATGAACACCATCATGACAAAATGGTATTTCGTTGACAATAGTAAAATTTCGATCTAATAAACATAAATATTTACCTTCTCGTTCGACAAGAAGATATCTTTCATTACTGGCAATGGAGCTTTCATTACCAGATTTAATATGAATAGTATGATGTGGATGAGGTAAAGGAAAAATATGTTGTGAAGTAACTAGATTTTCGTCAACAATTAATGGATGAAGTGTTAATCGAAGATGTTCAAGTTCAATAAGTTTTACTTCAATTAATTGAATATCATGATCGATTTGTTTAAATTGATTATGTATTCCATCTTGTTCTTCAATTGATTCATCTAATGTACTTCGAATATTAGCAAGTTCTTGTTCTAAATTTTGTTTTTTCTTTTCAATTAAATCATAACGCTTCTTATTACAGTAACGATTGATAGATTGATGAGCTTGTTCACGCCATCGTTCAAGTTGTTCGAGACAATACGGTTCAATTAATGATATTCTACCAACAAGTTTATCAATAGTATTAATTAGATGTGGTAGAGTTTGACTGCATCGATTTTCATGTTCATTCGAATGATCTTGACAAAATTGACGATCACAATGATTGCATACGCTATTCGGTAAATTTGAACATTGATGAACGGAACATGACTCAAATGAGTCTGTCATTCGTTCATATTGCTTGAAATGTGTTGGGAATAATGCCATATGAAAAGTAACAATGTATTAAATCAATAGATAATACTCTGTTTCTTTTTTTTTTTTGTATGAAGAGATAATCCGTAGTTTAAGAGAAACAATATGAAGTAAATGGCAAAATAAAATATGTACTCTTTTTATTTAGAATGAAACATGATATTTCATTCACTTCTATGTGAAAATGAAAATGTCGTAATTGAAAGATATATTTAACTTGACATTTATCATTGATTTCTTAATCTTTTGATTTGAACTCCTTGCAGCGTCGCATCAACAAAGTTAACTTCTTCAAATAAAATGCAAAAGATGATGTTTTGTTAACAAGTATTTTTCTCTGGATTTCTTCTATGTCTTATGCATATTATAATACATGAAGATGTCCGGTCATTGAAATATTACCTTCAATATTCCTATGTTAAATAAATTTACTAATCTTAGAAATTCTTCAGTGACTCACATATGTTGTAGGAACGAAAACATCTTTCCAAATAGCATCTGCTAGAGGCTTACAATCTAACAAGTAGTATTCATTGGAATAACGTCAATGAACGATTGAAAACAAGTATAAATCTATTTAATTGACTTTCTTGGGAAGATAGAAAATGTTATTTTTCTCTTTGGATAATAACAAACACTGAACTCAATAAATTTGTGTAAATATTCAAGTGACAAATTATCGTATTTATATCGAAAAACAAATATATTAAAATGTGCATATTAAAATATTGTTCGAACTGTCAATATAAATCTCTTTTCACGTCTTTTACTCTTGGTACATATATGAAGTCATTAGAATGAAATTAGATATTTTTGAATTATACTCATCGAACATATAATTATATTTTAATACGTCTCTTTAGTAGAATGTTTTTATTTCTAGCAGCGTTGGGTTGAAGCGAGAGAAGCGGTTACTTCTTCTTATAGAATTTTCCTATAATTTTTTCCAATAAAAATAACGAAAGAAATGGGTTTTTACCATCTTGCACGAGTCTCACAAAATGATATTTGCCAATGATTGATCATTTCGTCTCTCATAAATATGTTTTTTTTTGCACCGAGTGACAGATAGCATTTACATAAAGAAATTAGTATTTGTATAATAATGATTGTTTTAAATTAATGTTATAAAAATAAACTAATATTACTAAACGTCAACTATTTCACTTTACCAAATGTTGTCTTTTGTTTTTTAATACATAATTTATCCACAAAGAAATATTCACATCTTTTTCAAAAATAATATGATAGAAAAGGGTTTTTCATAATACAACAACTCTTTCTATGAAGTTCTTGCTATGCTTTTTCATTATTTTTATTTCTTAACATTTTGACGGTTTCTATATTAGCCAGTGAATGATTTTGTTTCTTTATAAGTTTTGTAGTACCCTTTGGATTTAGAATGATGGCTTGGTATGTAGCTTGGCCAGTTCAGATCTGTAATTTTGATGATTTAACTGGATGAGTGGAATTACTTTTTGTGTTAGGCTCTGAAACGCGGATCCTTTTCTTTCTATTATTGTGCATGTTGGTGCTACAATGTCTAAATAAGATTTTCTGTGGTGAGACTGGGTGTAAAACGCCATCTAATCCGGTCTATCATAAAAGTTTCTGGAAGTAACTTTTTTGCGAATATGGGGTTGCATAATTTAACATTGTTTAATTCATAAATTGGCACTTTTTCATCCTCTGTCTATCAGAAGTTGTTTTCAATTGACTTTGAGTGCAAGATATATTTATTAGTGTGTTATATGTGCACTTGTGTCGTTCACTTTTTCGCTCGATTTGTTTTGAGAATCAATATGAGATCAGTTTTAGAATTTTGTCGCAGAATAGTAGCGTAGAAGAGAAAATTGTTAAGATTACAACTGGATTTTCAAAATTGATAGAACATTTATGGGTTTTGTATTTGAGCATTGTAAAAACAGTTTTTGGAGAAACCGATATTGATGAAGATAAGAAAATATCGTCCAAATTTGAATTTCCTTTTTTTGTGTTTTCTGCTGTAAATATTAGGTAAAAAAGTAATGTTTTGAAGGATCAAGAAGATATTTCTCTGCTTTCCGCATTCTGACAGCTAAATCATGATGTTCATTAATATAATAAGTTGAGAAAACTTCATTTAACTGTATAATCCTAAATGTTTAAGTCTTCTATATAAATGACAACTGAAACAAGAAATAATGTCACACGTGAATGACTATTTTCATTTCATAGCAGATCTTGTAAATATTTTTAAAAGCCAATTTCTCAAAGAATGATTTACTCTCTGTCGAAGCTTTGCGATTAAACATCTATTCCATTAGACAAAATGATAAAATGCGAATATTGATACTGGTTAATCGCTTTGGAGTTTGAACTATGTGCATCATGTAGGCCCCGATGAGTTATGAATACTCCTGAAAACAGTTCGGGCCCTTAACTTATTACTGTTGGTATACTGCATTTTTATGATATTTTTAAGTCAACACCGCAGTCTCCATCAGGAACACTAGAAAAGTTCATTTTCGAATTTCGACTTGGAACTTTCTATAGAGACAAAATTTAACAAGAATAATTTACTGGGAAAGTTTCAAATCAATTTGTTGTTCGTATCGTAAGATATAGCTATGATAAAAGCTTGTCTTTTACACTGCTTATGTACATCGATAGTTTTCATGTCCTTATTTCAGGAAAGAAGTAAGTCAAAAGATTTGAAACTTTCATAATAAACTATTCTTGTTAAGATCTGTCTTTCTGCAAAGTTTCAAACCGAAATTTGATCATCAATTTTCCTTATGTTCCTGAGAAAGACCGCGGTATTGACTAAAAGAATATTGTAAAAATGTAGCATNTTATTTTTGATTAAGGAAATTTATTTGAAGTTTCTTGTTCAAGGTTTATTTATATCAATGCACTATTAATCATTCTTTTCTACGTGTGTTTGAAAATTGTAATGCAATAATTTATGTATTTTATGTTGTGGAACTTGACGTATATAATGATTCGGTGGATAAGCAGCCTTAAGACAACAACAACAACAAAAAGAAAAACATATTAATCAACAAAATATTTTCATTAACATACTTGTTCAGTAAAAAACAATGTAACTCGTTCAAAAAATTGATTACCATCAAGTGATGTTAATGCCAAATAAAGAAATAAACCATCTAATACTGGCATTGGGATTTGTTTAAGAATATCACGCATGAATAATGACATACCAATAAATATATGTGATAGAAGTACTGTTAAACGAGTTTCACGTACTTTAACAATACTAAAATAATAAACAAGATTTTCTATTTTGTCATTTATACTTTTTTTTTTTTTTTCAGTAGCGAAGCCTGGATTTCGGACCAGAGATAGAGGAGGGGCAGCTCAGACACCCTACGGCTCTTTGAGCCCCTCTTAGCCTTGCCACTGTTTGTTTTTCTTCTCCTTAAAATAATTAATTTCTTACACTGATTGTATATGACCTTGTTCAACACGTTCTTCTGTATCAGCAAGTGCTTTTACATGTAATGGTGATAAGGGTAAAGCTCCTAAGAAGAAGAAAAGAAAACGGAAATATGATTAATCATATAGATATAATCAAACCAACCATGCATCCATGTCAATCCGAACAAAGAAAGCCAACCATTAAGTATAGCAATGACAAACAAATCGATATGAAAAGCTTTGCCTTTTTTTAATCTATATGAAAATAAAAAACAAATCATCAGATTAAATTCAAATCTTATGTTTGTTATGTTGTTGTTGTTGGTTTTTTATTCTTACTTATTTGCCGGTGAATTAACAATGGCACCGGCTATATTTTGATCCTAGAAAAATGATTGATAATTATAGATTACTAATAGAAAGAAAATTTCTTAGAATAACATACAAGAAACATTAATAAAGATAAGGAAAACCCAAGACCTCCTGTTGCAATTATTTGTTTAAATGTAATTGACTTAAATCGAACTAATACAAATAGATGTCTATGATCAACAGAAAATGATTGAACTAAAATAATAAATTATTGTTTGAAATAAGTTAAAAAATATTTCTACATACGATTTATTTGACTAAATAGAAGACTACCAATTAAAGACATTATTATAACAGATACGGGCAATGCATAATCTGTTAATAATTCTCGTTTAGCTGATGTTAAATATGGTGTCTGTTTAAATTTATATAAAAATGTTCCTAGCCATACTGTTCCAAGTGTTAATAATATATAAAGTAGACTTGAATCACGTGAACATGGTTCTTCTAAAGTTCCTTCTGTAAAATTAAATGTTACATTTTTATTCATTCGACGTAATTTCCAATATTCATCATATTGTTTACAAACAGTCGTTGAATAATTACGTGTAAAATCTAAACATAGAATTCTGTCTAATAATTTCCACTCAAAAAAAAAAACAAAACAAAAAATAACAAAGATTAATATTTTTTTCCTTACTTCGATAAACATGTGTACTAGCATCAACCAAAAATGCAATAGAAACAAATAATGCAAAAATTTCTTCAGTTGATCTTTAATTTTAATTTTTTTTTTTTTTATAAATAAAATAGAAAATCAAACAAATAGAATTTTTTTTATTATTCTTTTACCTTGTTGACCATTTCATTATTTTTGAAACACCAAAAAGGGAATATAAAATCAGAAAAAATGAATTCCATAAACCAACTAATGCATATGTATCTCGAAAATCCAAACGATACCATGTACATAATACAAAAATAACTATTTAATAAAAAATATTCAATAACAAAAACTAAAGATTTATCGATTTAAACTTTACCTTTAACATAAATTGTTAATGGTGCTGTTGTCATAACAACAATTAATGGTTGTCCAGAAAATATTGAAAAAAATATTCCACCGAGACATTGACTTGCAACAGCTTTTGGTACACTTATTTGATCATTTGTTACTTGAGAATTTAATACACCAAATGCTATACTTGGTAAAAGACAAGCAAAATAAAGAAATACAGCAGTTGATAAAACTTTTTGTGAACCACGATAAGTTTGAAAAACTAAAGTTTTAATAAAAATAATGAACAATATGATTAAAAAAGAAAACTTATTCAATTTACTATCATAAAAATCTGAAAAATAATGTGGTAAACGACGTGATAAATCCATATACATATCAGATAGTATTGGACAATAATATGTTTTAACTTTTAACACCTTTAAAAAAAGAATTTCTTTTTTAAGTATTTTACTAAAATCATCTGCTTACTTCAGAGTTTATGTTATTATCATCAAATGCATCTGGTAAAGAATTTCTTGTATGTGATGTTTGTTGTTGTTCCATTAAATGATCTGTATGTTTCTATAACAAAAAAAAAAAAAACATATATAAATATATTAAAAATGAAAAATAATTTTACATCAATAATTGAAATAAATTCTTGTTGTGTTGTTGCTTTTAATAATTTCGCACGTAATTCAATATCAGCAAATATAGTAGCAAATGTACGACCTGTTTCAAGAAAATTTTTTGTTCCCTTTTCTCGCATTGGTGATAATATAAAAACAATAAAGCGTGCTTCTTGACAATTACGTCCTAAATTACAAGGATATTTCAAACGAGCTATAGCAACATGACGTTTAAGAATTGATGGAGATGTACACATTATTGCTAACCATGATTGATCATATGTCCAATTTGTTTCAGTTGCTGTTGTTGCTTGAAGAGTTTTTGCTAAGATTCGAACTTTAGAAAGACAAAAAAAAAAACTATTGCAGATACACAATAAATTTGTGTTTCAATAATACCTCTATCATTTACAAATAATGCTCGTTTAATTTCTTCAATATTTAAATTTTCTCGATGTCCACTACTAGTCGTAATAACTGTATTATTTATCATTGTTGTAGTTGCATTGGATAAAGATGAAGATGATAATACTGGTGTACTATCATTATTAGGTAAACTTGTTTGTTTTATTCGTCGAAGAATTATTTCTAATAAATCCCATATAGATGTATCTTGTACATCAAGTAAAACAAGTGCACTAAGAATAAATTCTTTAATATCTTTTCCACCACGAATTTCAGCTGCAAAATCTTTCAATGGAATATGCTAGAAAAAAAAGATCGAAAAAGAATTTTATATTTCTTATTTTCTATTAAATTCATACTTCAGATTTATTGTAAACAAGTTGTATTTGAGCACCATCCTCTGTTGTATAAAACGAAACAAAACAAATATATATATAAGATTTAGTTGCTTTCTAGGGAAATTTATTATTCAAAAATGTTATTAAAAAAAACAACAACACAAGCTATATTCTTTATATTTTCGTGCTTTGTATCGCTTTAGGCGGTACGATGACAACGACTACCAACATCATCATCATCATCATCATAAGCAAGTTGCTTAATTAAATTCCCAATGAGAGCTACAAATTCGAGACATATACATATAGCTTTTTTCTCGAATTACATTATAGTTCCTTCCTAGTTCTTTTTTTTTCTCGGCAAATGTTTCTAGATGAATCGTGCGCAACGATGATAGAGAATCATTTTTCCCAAAAGACACTCATAAAACAGTAATAATAAAGAGTCACTTTCTTTTTACGCGTCTTCAATGTAGTCGTCGCCTTTCACATCAAATCATCATTTATCTTTTTCTTTTGGTCAAGAAAATATTGACACAAAAAAAGCAAAGAAGAAAGAAAAAAAACTATAATATAGAAAGAATTTCCGACTTATATTTACAATAAAAATTAGATTTTAGAAGAGTAATAATGATAATTATTATAACATTCGATTTATGTCAATTGATTCGATAATGAACTAATTGTTGTTTTCTACGATACTTACTTCTTAATAATGATAATTCATTATCGTCATGAATAAAAAGACTTTGAGGGGCAATTGAGCTTGAACTATCATCTTCTATATTCATCATTGAATAAATGAACGGAAAAGAATCTGTTTACTGCTTTTATATATAAATATATATATATATATATGTGTTTTTCAGGAAATAGATGAAGATTAAAAAGACGACTAAATACCGGTTTTTTTTTCTCTTATTTCTTTTTTAATATTAAACATCTCATATACTGGCTTCATCCAAGAAAAAGAAACCTAGATTGATGTTCATCATTTTTGTTTTCATAATAATAAAAACAAAACAAAAAAAATGTGTAAATGTTTTCATTCTAGCCTTCTTACAGTGGAACTAATCTATTCCGTATTATTTAGGTCAGAGCAAGAATAATGGTTTCTGTCTATGTTTGTTCTATATTTTTTGTCCCATCTCAATCGGAACTAACAGATATATCCGAGACTATAATATTTCCGGAAACATGCTTAAATGATTTACTCGCCTATGTACAAAAAAAACTAACATGATTAAAAACTATGTCAAAGAAGACGTGTATGAAAGAGCGTGGAATCATAATAGTAATGCATGCATAAATATATATATTTTTTTTTCTTCTATCATTAATTATAAAAGGAAGTATAAATCTAACTCTTACCTCGAAGTAATTGCCATTCGTGACTGTCATTATTAAATGACCAAGTTGATGTTGGTTCAGGTAATGATTCTCGTGTAGCTTTACGGCGAAAACTAAATCTACGTAAACTACCACTGCCCGGGTGACGTCGAAAAGAAGATTCTGTTCGATTCATAATCAAGAATAATTGTACATATATATATATATATACTATCGTTATATTCAGATATTCGTTTTTAATGTGAAATGTAGTTGAGTTGATGTTGACGATGATGATAACATAATGATAAACGACGATGACAGGATAAAAGTTAAATGCAAAGTCATTTTTAGTACAGCAATATGATGTTAGTAGCAAAGCTCGACTACTAATCAAAAATATTGAGAAGAAAAAGACGAAGAAGAAGACTCAATTGACATGAAGAGTGAAAGAGATTGTTAGAATGAAAAAAAGAGGAATCAGAACTGAAGGAGAGAAAAATGAATAGTTGTTTATGAGAAAACGACGACAACTGCTTTCTCTTCTTCTCTCTATGTCGTTTCCTCCTCGATCTTTCATTCTTTCTCGAGAAAAGAAGTTTTTAGGGGGGATAAAAAGAAACAGCAACTGCTAGATGGACCAATTCTAATTCATCATTTCAATGCGCGTGCTAGAATCAACTATTCTAATACATACGTTGATTGAAAGTGCATGATTCTTGTATGTTTATATACATATATATATGTGTACGAGTATAAAAACACTAAACAGTCATTCTAATGCTTTTTCGACATCTTATCATTGAGTCAAGGGTGACAATATTCTCATATTTCATTTGAAGTACTCATCACTATTTCTTGACATAGCACGATAAATACGCATAAAAACATTATATAGATATAGATATATAAATGCATATAAGTGACAATAATCAAAAATAAATGAATAGTAAATCTTATAATCAAATATATATATATGAAAACTTCTATGTTATATGTGAAAAGAATACTAATTAGTTTATCGATATAATGAACATGTTATAGAAGCAAGTTAGTATTTGCTTATTAAACTTTTTCTTTTCTCTTTTTTTTTTGTTTGTTTTCTACTGTTAATAGATGACTTAAATATTAATTATTCGATTAAATATTTATGAGAATTTTGACGGATATATATATCAAGAAATTCGAATGAATATAAGAATTATATATTTCTTTTTTTTTTTGGTTGTTTACCTAATTAAAATGATCATCGACGCATATGGTAAAAAAATATCCATCACTTTTCTTATTATCACATGCGTTTGTTCGATATAATATGTTTACGTATATACATATGTTGCTGTTTGTTTACTTTATTACGAATGGCGAAGCACTATCTATCAAATACAAACAATAATAATATCTCACTTACTTGATGATGGTGTTTCAAAAACATCTGTATTATTACTAAAACTTGTATTAATCATTTTTCGACAAATGGTAATGATTGACAATCATGTATTTATATTATCATATGTACAATAAAAGAAAACCTAGCAAGTGATTGTATATTATGTTTACATAAGAATTTCGAACAAAGAAAATTTTAGTATTAGAAAATATAATGCTTATAATTGTGTCATATCTTGACAATATCATTATTAAATATAATAGCGAAAAGAACTAGTTGTTTTTTCCGGATGTATGGGAATAAATGTATTGATCTATTATTTCCTTTATATTGAACATTGACTTATAATTGATTATTTCAAAGAATAGAGAATTTTCTAAATATTTGGTAGAATATTTTCTTTAGGAACAAGATTAGCGTAAAACATTGTTTTTTTTGTTTGTTTGTTAATCTGTGTCTTAAAACAACCAATTCGAACAGTTTATTATGACTTTCAATCAAAAAAGAATAAAACCCAAATCGAAATAACTTTAAAAATCTATGTCAACAAAGAAAACAAAAAATAAATATTTTCATAAAAATAAATATTTTATCATTATAATAAATAATTCTATTCTATTATTGCTGATTATTTTTTGCTTCGAAATTAATATGGGATGAATTAGCTTTATAAAATTTTATCAAAAATGTATCATTAGAAAAAAGTTCAACAATTGTTTTATCAATAGCTTTTTGTGCTTCTTCACTTGGATTTAAATTCCAAATTTGTATTATATCAAGTTGGGCTTCACGTGATTGTATACTTATACCAACAATATCATCACCATCAATAACAGAAAATTGTTCACCAATAACAGCTAAACAAAGTTCTTGCCAAACAGTATTTGTTTTATTTTTTGGACATCTATATGTATAAATTCCACCACTAAAAACAATTGAATATTTGTTTAAATATTCTTTCTATCAAAAAGAAAATTTTTTTTTTCAATTAAAAATTCTCAAATGATGAGCAAAATTACAAGATCAATGCATTTTTTATTATTACATACCGAAATTTCATAGGGTGGACTATGAGAGGAAGATTTCCAAAAACAAACTAAAGATGGTACTTTCCAAATTTCAGAAAAATGTGTGAAAATTAGTTTTCAAGAGTATCATCTGTAAAGAGCACAAAATCCTGAATAAAGAGAAGGCTCATTGCATTTCCTATAATCCTCTATTAAAAAGTTATCAGCATCATAAAAAACAAAAATGTGGTTTTTTTTTGGGTCATCAAATAATACATGACGGGCATGTGGGAGTATATGCACCGGTTAGAGTTTCAGTAATGATATACAAAAGATTCGCACCCACACAGCTAATCCATAGAAGCACGATGAATTATTCTAACACCAATTTTTTAGTAATGCTATGATAAACTCCTAATTGCTATAATCTTTAAAAGTAATCAAAGTTCTTTTTTTTGGGGATGCGCAGTGTTACTATAAATACCGAACAGTGTATAGCCAACAAAGGGTTCGATTGGAGCATTGATTACACTGACATCGGTATTTACTAAAATGCAGGCTATACTAAAATTCGCATTTCCTGAAACATCAACTCTATTAAAATATGTCTTTTTTCTGTAACTATGTGTTTCAATGCTTCAGTGAACACTATTGCCAATGTACACAAAGTATACTAAGGAAGGAATCGCCTCAGATGTTTCCTTCAGATTTCAATGAGTTTTTACCTTTAGGATACTACATGGTGCTTTAATAAAAATCCGAAAAGGATTTGAGTCCTTATTAAGATTTGCCTCTGGAGACTTTGTTCGAAACTTCTGAATTTTTCTTTGGAAATTAATCTAGTTGAATTCTCTATATATGCAAAGTTTCAGATTAAAATTCAAAAGTACGAGTTTTCCGGAAATATGGGGCTTCTGAAAAAGCATTCGATATTTTATTCGAATCTCAATAGGGATGAAAAATCTTTGCACAGTTTTCATTAGAACACAACTTAGCATCTATAGGCAAAAAAAAACTTATTGAAATCGGAAAGGGAATTTCCGAGGAGTTTCTCTCTCGTGAGTGGGTAATCAGTAAATTAAAACTGCACATTCCAAATTGCTTCTATGCTTCCTAGTAATTTCATTAGAATGGGACTCAATGGAATATTTTCGGTTTTTTTTTTTATCATACTTTTCATTTTCTTTATCTTCCCATAGTGGTTTTCGGTTTTGTCGCATTAAATGATAAGTAACACGATTTGCTAATCGATCAGGTGCTATAAAATTTAATAGAAATTAATAATACTAAACATTTGATAATAATCTCTACTTGGAATATTATTAAAAACACTCCAAAATTCTTGAACAGTTTCAACCTAAATTAAAATCAATAATAATATGAATATAAAATATTGATTTAAATAAAAATTTAATAACAGAAGATATTATTTCAAGACCAGCTTCATAATCTTGTTTCGATGATAATTTATTTTTTTGTGAATCAAGCCAAAATGTCCATCTAAAGACAATTATATAAAAAAATAAAATAAAAAAATTTCCTAATCATTAAATTACTTTGTTGCAAGTGGTGCTTTTTCTTCATCTTGATTGACTGTTAATGATTGTTGAATATTATCATTTGTTTGTACGACACAATTATCATTATTTAATGATTCATTTCCTACTGAATATTCTCCTTCATCACTTTTACTATAATTATCGATCATCTAAAAAGAAAGCAAAAGAAATCATTTTAGAAAAACATGAAAAGAACGAAAATATATGCCTATTATGTCGATGCTCTATAAATAACAACACGAGAGAGAAAAAGAAACCATCGAAAAATATAAGGTGTAATTTTTTTTCTTTTTGGCAAATGTCACGTGAACTAATCGCGTTTTTTTCTCTTTATGTACGTGTTTTGTTGCATCAATACGGTACATGATTACATGTAAATATATTGGACACTAAAATCATAAAGCATATTATTGACGACATATATATATATCACGTGTAATGGATGATGATTTAGATTTTAAATTTTTGGCACTTGGAGATTCTGGTGTAGGAAAAGTAATTTGATTAGATTTTCTTGGCTTTTTCTGTTTTTTTTATTTTTCATTAATATAGACATGTTTACTCAGTCGATATGTTGACGGCAAATATATTGAAACCTTAGGACCAACTGTTGGAATTGATATTCGAAATAAAACTTTTGAGTATGAATCAACTCGATTAAATAAATTCTTTACTATTCATTTACAATTATGGTAATTAATCGAAGGAATAAATATATATATATATATATCTTTTAGTAAAAAAACAAAAAAAGAAAGAATAATTTCGATTGTATGAAATTCTTTGTTATTTTTGTAAGATCAATTACATGTAAGAAAAGAATTAATTAAATATTTTCTTTTTCAACAAATTGTACAGTAAATAAATTAAACAAATAAGAATTTATAGAGTTTCTGAGTTTTACATTTTTCTCTAATTTATATATGCTTAGAAGTATCTTTCGTCTGTTAGACACATGCAAAAAATAAATGTATAACTGGGAACGATGAATCATTTTCGCTGTTTATAAAAAAAAGAATTTTTTCGTCTAGAAAAGTTATGAATCATTCATATTTCTTAACTATTGTATATCTCATCGAGCTGAAACTTCTACTCTTATAAGAAAGTTTATAGGGTGTTGCCTTCATAATATAAATGTACGATTCGTTTTTTTGGTAGTTTTAAAAAAAAAGGAACATGTTTTTTCGAAAAATGTACTCAAGATTTTAGTTTTTCTATTCAAACGAAAGGAAATCAAAAGAAACAATAGAAAAAAAACCTAGCAAATCCAAAGAGAATCTAATACTTGCAAAAACATTTTTCATTCTATTCAGAGGTTTTACGGTTGAGAAAGGCAAACGATAAGAGAAATTATTTTTTTACTCTTCGATTTCAAAATCTTCTACATGAGAGCATCAGAGAATTTCGAATCAATAATAATTTTTGCTCTATTTGCCGAGATCTCTATTTACTCAGAAACCAGCAAATATTTCTTATGAGTCATTTTCTTACAGTACTGGAAAATGACGATAGGATCTCCTTAAGAATTACTTAGATTTTGTATGAATATATCTTGAAATCTTTTTCTTAAAGTCATAAGAAAAAAAAACTTTAATCAAACGCATCGTTCGTATGGTTTATACTATGAAAACAGATGTTGCTGTCATCCTATACAATTTCTTTCAAATCAATCGTACCATAGTAGCAAAAAGTCATCTTGCCGTATATTTTAACTACTAATAGAGCTTGGTAAACCCTGATCGCAATAGACCTTAATGCCAAGAGTTTACTATGAGAACGCTGTTTTTTTCCTAGAAATAAAAAAAACTTGTTTGATTTTCCACTGTTTAAATGCGTGAGTCTGTATTTCTGATTAATAAATAAAGAGTCAAAAATAGGGCACTTCAATTCGATGTAATCTTGAGGTACGAGGAAGCCTCCATTGTCTGAGATGGGCTCAGCATAGATCCGGTTTCCATTGAGGGCTCTGGTTGCGAAATTTTGAAGCAACACTTCACTAGTATAGGGGACTTACTAATAAAAATTTCATAGCTTATAGTTAAAATTAACTAAAGATAAGATTACTCCAAAAATCAGACAAACAAAAACTATTTCATATGAAGTTTTGTATTGATGTTAGAGGCAATGATGAGATGTTCGTATATGTTGAGATAACCTTATCTGAAGAGAAAAGTCTATGCTGACTTTCTAGCTGCTCCACATGTGAAGGTCGATCAGAGTTCAACATACTCTATTTATAATCAAACTATGCGACTAAAGGATTAAAATTCAGGTATTTATTACCTGATAAGAAGACTTGATTTTACGACTACTGTATATGTCTTCAAAAATTTCGTTTTATCTAAAAAGAAATCTTTTTACTGAAAGAAAAACCTTTTAAAATTTTTCTTTTCTTTTTTAGGGATACTGCCGGTCAAGAACGTTTTCGTTCTTTGACATCAGCATTTTTTCGTGAAGCTGTTGGATTTTTACTAGTATTTGATTTAACAAATGAAGCATCATTTATTAATGCACGTAATTGGATAACTGAAATACAAACTCATGCTTATTCAGAAGATGTTGATATGATACTTATTGGTAATAAATCTGATTTAGATGATGAACGTGTTATTTCAAAAATTCGTGCACGAGATTTTGCTAAAGAATATAATATTCAATATATTGAAACAAGTGCATTAAAAAATATCAATGTAGACGAATCAATTAAATTATTATTAGATTCAGTTATGGCTCGTTTCGAACGTGATAAAAATTTATCTAAAACACGTCAACATTCATTGAAACCTGTTCAACATACAAATACAACTTTAAATGAAACGATGACTACTAAAATTTTCGACAACAATTTGAAAGATAGATCAAACATTTCTAGATGTTGTTCGTAGTAAAAGAAAAAACAAACAAAATTAAACTATCTGACTGAATTTTATTTGAAAATTATTAAACTTTTGTTCTAGCTTTTCTTTTGTTTTTTTTTCTTAAATCTATGTATTTAACAAAATATAAAGTTTTATTTCTTTTTAATCTGATCAGTATTATTTAATGTATGAGCAAGATTACATGCTAACATGACTTGCGATTGAAGTGTAAGAGAAGAATTTGATTGCTTAGAACTATTTTCATTTTCTTTATCAATATCATTTAATAAATATTGAATTTTATCTGTAAAAATTTTATCATTTGAACGAACTTGTTCATATACTTCATTTAAATGGTTAAGTGATGTTAATTTTTGTAAAATTTCATTCGTTAATAAAACTGTTGATTGTTGATCAATAGATGTTGATAAATTTGGTACACCTAAATATATATATATATATTAAATTTTGTTTCTAATATGATAAACGTATATCTCAATAGATTGAATAATTCGATCGTTCCAATTATATGTTAGTCAAAACAAAAATAGATATACCAGAGAGAGAGTATGTGTTTGGAATTAATCGAAAAAGCTATCGAATACTGTAGGAAATAGATTCAATTTAGATATTGAGTAAAAACCAAAACTATTTGAATTCAACGATCAGATTTGATAAAAGTCACTCGAGGGTTTGTAAAAATGATGAAAGGGATATATTAGAAAATGTCTCATAACAGTAGTAAAACATGTAAAAAATCTTGGTATATAAACACAAAAAACATGTGCATGATAAGCTTTTTTCGTATTCTATACCTTGTCGAAGAAAATTTTCTGATCCTTATCCTACCGTACTCTGTAGGGTCACATTACATATCTCTAGTAAACACAAATAATTTTCAAAAATTGGAGATAGCTGCCCCTTCGTGACTGTACTATTCATCATTTAAGTTGTTTCTTTCTTCTTGTTTTGTGTGCATTGATCCATGTCTTTGGTTTTTTTTTAATAATTTTTCTCGTGCTCATTTCATTTTGATCGTTACTAATAATTTTCTTGTCAGCTACAATTCTTCATTACACACTTATCTTTGTTACTAATATATTCATCTTATTAACTCGTGCTTGATTATGTCTATCTTTACTTCACTATTAAACTTCTCCTTGAATCTTCATTTATCTTCAAATGAATTTATATTGTATCACGTCACAGTAGTGCCTAGAATTGTATTTAGTTGTATTTCATCCTATTCTTGTTTTCGAGGTCTTTGCATGTCTGATTCAATTAAAATAATGTTATAAACATAATATATAATTTATCTATATGTTGCAAAATTCCTTTTCTCTTTCTACTATAATTCATTTTCGATTAGTTTCATTTATGTCGAAACAAATTTCTTCTTAATAAGATTTGGAAGCATATTTTATGTATGACATACTACGAAGAAGAAGACATTTCTAATCAGCATACTTCTTTGGTTTTTACTAGTAGAAATATTGATCGAACAGTAAATTTCTAACTGCTTTACATTGATTTACAAGAAGTTTAATGACCCTCAACTATAATTATTTGTGATAAATGTAATTTTCTTCTTCTGTTTTTGATTGATTCTATTACAAAATAATAAAAAACATTTCAACAAACCAGTTTCAAGACGTTTAAAAAATTGATGTGTATCAACTAAAGCATTTTGAAGTTGTTTTTCAATATCAATAATTTGTTCATTTGTAAATATTGTTTCAAATTCTGTTTCATTCATATCATTTGTTTTTTGTGATAATAATTCTGTTCGAACTTGTCCAAAAACATCTTTTAAATCTACACTTGTTTGTTCATCATCACCAGATTGTTGTTGATCATTATCAGCATATTCAAGTATACGTGAATCAATTGAAAGATTTGTTTCATCCATAGGTAATTGTTCAAACATATTAAGTACATGACGATTATTCCACATATCATGATGTATTGTCATTGGTGGATTACGTAAACATACAAGTAATTCACTAAGGTATTCAATAAGACCTAATTGAACATTATGACCTATAATTGGTTTATGTATATAATATGATAAAATATTTGATAATTGATGAAGATCAATAAGTGATGATGAATTAAATATATCATCAAGACGTAAAATAAATGAACGTGGAAACATAGCTGTTTCAAGAAAAAAATCTTTTATAAATGTAATTGAATTTGATGAACGTGTTGTATGTAAACGTTGTGCAAGATCAGAATCAAGTTCACCAAGTAACCACATAACAATTTTTAAATTTGTATTTGTTGTCATTAAAAATGTTGAAGTTGGTAAACTTGATACATGAGGACAACCAAGAGAAAGAAGTGAACGATGAAGAACATTACGAAGTTCAACACACGGATCTGTATGTGAATAATAAGTCATTTCTATAAAAAGTTTTAAAAACAAAAACTAAATTGTATTGAATAAATAGATCAACAAGAGATTATTAATTTAAAACTTTGATTTAAGTTAAATAAATAGTTTTCTTATATGTCTGAACTGATAAGAACAAAACTATTACTCACATGGTTTGATATTAAGAAAAAGGTTGTTTTTTTTTATACTTCTGTCCTTCTCACGTACAAACATTTAAGAATAAAATGATTAAAGAATATTAACTACGTGACTTTCAACATACTTGGGAACAATTTATATAATGCCCTTCCATTACTAATGTAATAATTTTTCATTAGGTAGAACGTCTTAGAAAGATTACTGGCATCTATTATTTGTAATTGCATATTATCTGAACAAGTCAAAAACATTCTATGATTACGAATTTCTATTAGAAAATTCAAACTGTTTTATAACTAAGTAGACAATATGTTTCATTGGAAAAATATGATCCACTTTAATTTAATCGATTGGTATTTCCGATGAGAACAAAAGAAAAGAAACAATATAAGAGTGACAGATCGTGATATATTTAAATAATTCGAAAACACAAAGAAAAATTAAACGATGAGCTTTATTGCTCAAAACTCTTTGAGAATACATATAAATACAAAAACAAAATGAAAAGAAAAATAAAATATATATGTTATATATTAGCAAAAGGAAAAAAGGAAAAGAAAAAGAGACAAAAAAAAAATATTTAATCAAGATGAACATGTTGTATTGGTGTTATAGCAATTGTTGTTGTTGGTTGTCGAATATTTAATAATTGCCGACGTGTTGCTAAGAAAGAACCACATGTAAATATTAAAAATATAAGTGTTATTAATACAAGAATGACACTTGATATAGGCGAAAATAGAACACGATATTTAATACGTAAATACCATACAAATCCAAGAATTAATGTTAATAAAAGAATAAAATGTGACGAAATATTAACAGGTGATGAATCAATAAATGTTGATGTATCAAATCCATTTTGATTTATATGTGTTCCAGATGATATTCCATCATTTCTTTGATTTGTTGATTCATGACGTCTTGCACTTATTTGACAATGTATTGTTGTTTGATCACGAATATTATATGTACGAAGAGTTTCTCGATCTTGTAATTCTCGACCTTGATATATAAATCGAATCATTTTATTATTTGATAATTCATCAGCAAAATGTAATCTAAACAAATTCAATGAAAGATTATTTTCGAGACAACAACAAAGTGAAAGAATTTTTTCTTTATAGTATAACTAAGGGGATGTACAGTGCTGGTCTAAATACCAAAACATTGAGTCCATTTGAGCCACTGATTACACTGGTATCAATGTTCATTGAAATACTAACATTCACATTCGCTGCAACATTGAAACACCGACTTTATCAGAATACACCCTGTTTTTGTGTACTCAAAAAGTGAGTACACTCTAGAATCGGTCAGTATGTCTGGCCGTCCGGCCGTTTACACGATAACTTTCGAAAGAAGAGTCAGATCATGATGAAATTTTCTACACAGTTAAGTCTTAACAATGTCTCGGTCGAGTTCGAAGATGAGAAGGATCCGTCACGAAATGGCTGAGCTATCGAAAAAATTGTCATTATTGACCAGACCATCCCTGAGGAGGGGGGGGGGGGTACAGGGATTTAAAAAAAAAAAAAATTTTTCTCAAAATTATTCACAACATATATAAATCGACTCAGTTTTTAACGCTGACTCCGAATCTGATATTATTTTTGAACCAAATAGTAGCTTTCTAACAAAACATCGCCTGAAAAGGTCTCAAAATGCACAAAAACTGCATCCAGAAAGCAAATTGCCTAGATGTGTCTCAGATGACCAGTAGTTTTGGGGTTTCCCAAATGCCTGATTTTGTAGCTAGTCAAAAGGGCTATCGAAAGGTAAAAACCCTAACTCGATAGCTATTAATATTGGTAATTTATTAGGAAAATCCTGATGCCTGTATCTATGATATATCTCTTATAGATTGATGAGGTTGCTTACGATCGTAATCCTGCTAGATACAAACGNTGAAGATTTCTCGGGGATATAGGAATGGACCATTGTTTCCCTCACAGTTCCCCTATCCATGAAAGTCAAAATAATGTTTTTTTAAATATGTTTCGTACTCATACATTCATGTTCGCGAGTTTCTTCATCAAAATGGGTGTAAGAGTAAAACATGTCGTAGATATTACACGTTTTTAATTTTAGTATTCCAAGAATGGTGAGGAAACTGAGAAGGAATTACTATTCATCAGTCCTTGGACGCCTCTCGAATAGAATATTCGTCTCATATAATGTAATTTGTTCGTTCTGGATTAATTCAGGTAAATGAAACGCAATCTGTGTTTTCCTCCAATGTATATAGATCTATTGATCCAAACATTCGAGCAAGTAATGTATTAGAGATTTTATTTTCGATAGATGTTGAAAGAAACGTGAAGATGCCAAAAAACAGTGGAGAACACAATGAATGCTGTTTTCTATTCGCTTTACTGAGAAATTTTACTCTTTTCGTCCTTATTGCGATGCGGAAAATGTCCAAAGCTTTCGATCAATTGTTGATGCTGCTCAGAAAATCCAATGAATTGATGCAAGAAATTTTTAATTTAGTCTCCAACTGCTAAATTCTCTTTCGCGTCTTGATCTAACTGTTTGAAACAACTCACTGCTCGATGTTGATCATCCAGATTTTCGCTGTGCTCCAGCGGTATATAAATAAATATTCGTTCAAGATACGAGAGTTGTTGATCGGCTTTTGGATCATTGGCAAAGGCACGTGCACTACTGCGAAACATATCCCCTTGGAAACTGATCTAGAGCAGTGATGCAAGCCAACAAATGCTCTGCTTCATCGATATCATTTGGGTAACGATATTGAATATTGATAAGAAATTCCAGATCCTTCTCAAAATTTTCTCTAACTTTCGCATCTAATTCTTAGGAGACGCTAAAACACTGTTTAAGATCAGATTCGTGTGGCGGAGTTTTAGGAACCATTGAAGCGTTGCTCGTCAACGACCATCGATGCTCAGAAAACCAAAAGTCCAAAACACACCCACGAAAAGCGATCGCTAAACTTCTACTGGTTGACATTCAAATATCTGCAAGAAACAGAAGCATGAATTAGAATCAAGAGAAAGAAAATGATCAGGGGAAAGCTTCTATTGATTAGTAGGATGAAGAACTTGAAGATGTTTACAAAATAAGTCACATACACTCACAGATTGCCTGAAAGTTGTAAAGGGTAATTCTGTACCTGCAAAAAGCTTTCGCAAAAAAATCGATCATAACTATGAGAAAACCACGAACCTTTCTCGTTTGAAAATCAAGTAAAAAATGATTCCTTGCGATAATAATTTTTTCGTCTTATAGCGATAACTTCTTTTCTGCATAGCACATACTTTTATAATATCTCTGTCTTCGATCCAGACTTGTGAACGAATTACATTACCTTTAGGGTATCCACCAACAAGTTTTATCGATACTTCTAATTTCTTGAACAAATCCTGTACAGTTTCTTCATATTCTTACAATCTGCGTTCAACACCAATCTCTATTCGCGATTCATTACATTTCTACATTGCTTACTCGTTTCAAAGAACAATGATCCGATGATCTGCATGAAACAAAAATTAAATAATCGTTGGTTGTAATCGATTTCATGTTAATGACGAGATAATCAAAGAATCATATTAGAATGCAACATGCCTAATCGATTCCAGCAGGAAAAATTCATTAAAGTCAATTAAAGAATCAAAATAAATGAGCAATTGACATACATTACAAATAGTGGAATAATTAATTATGAAGTATTACGCTCATGATTCATCGATTGGACTCGTCAAATTCTACTTGTACCGCGAAATAACTCAGATGTTATATTTTTTGACGAAATTGCAGGTAGCACGGGTGTGAGTGTGTGGGTAAGCGTATTCTCTTCGCCCACACACCCACACCCGACTATTATGCCTATTATGCCCACTTTAAACCTCTTGTCCATCAATGCAGTAAAATCAGTTTCCTGGAAACTAATATAACGCATGGAATCGAACAAGAATATGAGCAGCAGTCTTACTACATATATCGAAGCTCATGGGAACGACAACTGGTACGAGAACGGTACTATGATATGTGGAGAACAGATTCCTTCGAATATTACATGGATGAAATATTTATCGAGCCACTTTTAGAAAAACATGACTTAGAAACCAAGAACCCACGACACCGCCGAGATCAAGAATAAAAACGCATTGGAAGGCATGGCAGCTTTAGAACAGCTCATGCTCATACAGGATGAAATGGAACAATTACAACAAATCGACACAATCGTAGAAGTACAACGAGAAATACTCCAGCAAATAGACTTAAACGACCAATAAGATCAATAAAGAGTATATCAATTTCATAGGATACCTACTCCACCACTACATGATACATTGGGGCTAAGGACTTATGAACAGCGAGAAACGCCGATCATTGAAAACTAATAACAAAAAATCGCCATGAATCGATGAAGCTCATTAACCATAATCATTGAACTTGAACGACAT